ATCGCAGTAACTCTCAGATGGGAACGATTTGATCACCTCCCACCTAAGACACTTCAAGTTGAAAGGCTTTTTGCACTTTCAGTCAACTGGCATCTTCCCATAATCTTTTCTGTTACATTTCAGACTGTGAGACAGGTAAGGCAAATGGTCCGTGATGGATCTGGAGGTACAACTGTGCTTGGGGAAAAAAATCACATTTTAGCTGTCCATAAAGAGATGCACTTGGCACCCAGAAGAAGCCCCCAGCCCCCAAGTTACATCGATTCTTAAGGCAGATTTGTCCACCACAGGAGAAAAAAAAATCCCAAGCCCATATTCATGCGAAGGTTTCCTCTTGGCTAAACCTTTGCCATTTCATAAAATTATTAAAAGTGAAGTAGTTACAGCCCTATCTATATATTGTACATTATATATATATGTGTGTGTGTGTGTGTGTGTGTGTATATGTGTGTGTGTGTGTGTGTGTGTGTGTATCTTTATGTATATGTATATAAAAATTTAAAACCTTCATCCAGTGGCCAGTGAAGGGATCTGGAACGATCATATATACACAAACCAGCAATGGGGTAGGATAAGGTTTCTGTCCCAGGATTCTCTGCTGTCACAGTCCAGGCATGATGTAAGTAATGTTGTCTAGTGTGTTTGACAAGACCTGTTTGGGACAGCCATTCAGTTCAGGTAGTTGTGTAGTCAGACATGCCAAGGGCCCGAGCACACAGATGATGGAATCCAGAAGCACTGACAAGCTGCCGGCCACAGCCACCATGCCCTCTGTTTCCTGTAGGCAGGGTCCGATGAGTCTGAGGGACTCTCCCAACAGCTGTAGATGAGCAGCAACAAAGCCCCTGAGGCAGGTAATAACATGGTGGTGGGCGGGGACTTCTTTTGGGGTGACAGTACTCCTACAGAGGAAGCTTTTACTTTCATGGAGCCTTCTGAGCTGGATGCTTTTCTTTTCGCAGTTGCAGCTTCTGCTTTGTTCTGTTTGTGTTGCAGATACTGAAATCAATTTGCCCTTTTCTGGCAATTGCTTCCACACCTCAACCAGCTTTTTACTAAGTTCCCCAAGATCTATGCCTGGGTGGTGGGCCACAATGGTCACACAGTACTCTTTACAGAACACCTGATAGGCCAACATGTTCTTTTTTGGCTTTTCTCCTCTTTCTCTTTATCCTTCTCTTTTTTATTTTCTTTTCTCACTATGCCCATCTGTGTGGAGGCCAGGAAGTGGTGGGGGAGTGGCAGCTGCTCTGGGGTAGGGGATGCTGGGAGGGAGGGCCAGGTGTCATTGTGATCTCTCCCACCGCTGCAGCAGAAAGTCCTGAACTTCTCTTGGACTTGGAGTGGCGTTTCTCTTTATGCTTCTCCTTGTCCTTCTTTTTGCTCTTCTTTGACTTCTTTTCCTTTTTGATTTCCTGGTAAGAATCATCTATCACCAACTCGCCAGCCTCTAGCTCCCCTCCAGAGGATGAGTCTGATTCTTCTAGGATAGGTTCTAGCACTGAAAGATCCGGGTTAGCACTGGGGGATTCTGGGAACTGGGAGGCATCTGACACACAGCCTTCAGGGCCAGGAGATGAATGTGGGTCTAAGGATGACTTGTGCTTCTTCTGGGCTGTTTTCAGAAAGCTCTGTAACTGGTGTCCTAGGAGTAAAGCACTTTGCTCATCCCGAGCTGATTTCTTAGAGGACTTTTTTGCAGTTGCTTGCTGAGATGGGTACTGAAAAGACTCCTCATCAACTGAGCAGTTTCCCTTTTTCTTTGGTGAGAGAATAAGTTTCATCTTTAAACCATCTGGCTCATGAACGATCAGTGTCTCAGTGTCACATAGAGCGGTTTCATATTTTTGGATTTGTGGGAAACACTGTCCTCCAGGGATAGTTCCCCACTGCTTCCACTTATTTTCTTCCTGTGGTGTTCCTTTCTACTCTCTGAATGGCTTGAAGAACTAGAGGACTTTTCTCTTGTCTTTTTGGAGGGCTTGGAGCCTGTTGCCAGTGGGGAAGTGATAGCTTTCAACAGGTCCATAGTTGTATCAGCAGCTTGTGGGCTGGACCTTTTCTTTTCTTCTGTGACGATTCCAAAGACGAAATATCTGGTGTATCACAAATGAAGACTTCTTCTATGCCGAATCCTCCAAAATACCAGCCCTCCACCTATCCTCCTCCTTCACCCTGGTTTATCGGCACTCAGAACAAGAACCACTGTCTTCCATAGTAGTAATGGTCAGAGGAGTGCTTCCTCTTCTTCTTGTGCATGTCCGTCCCCAAGAAGTAAAGTTCACTATCCTTTAACTTCTTCTTGGAAGAATTCCTGACCTGAGCAGCGATTTCTTCCTCTTCCCTTGAAAAATCTTTGTAAGAACGTTTCTTTTCTCGTTGGCTTCGGCCAGCTGCTAGTCCTATGTTCTCAAAGCTGTGATCACCATCAAAGCAATCTTCTTTCTTCATGGCATCATCATGCAGGGCAACATCATGCAGGGCACCATGGCGATCCTGCAGGGCCTTTGAGAATGTGTCACTGTGTCCAGGCTCCTTTCCAGCTACAGGACCAGGTCTTCGGCCACCCGCTGCCATCTTGGAGAAGGCACTTTTTTTTTTTAAATAATCTTTTTGCTTTTCACTTTCTTCTCTGTTGTCAGAACTTGAGTATGACTTCGTGGAGGGACCAATCGTAGCCATGGTCTCTCCAGTTGTACAATTTTATAATACATCTGTACACTTTATTATGTGCTCATCATCAAAGTCTAGTCTTCTCCCATCACCTTGTATTTGATCCCCTGTACTCTCCTTGTCCTCCCCACACCCTTCTTTTCCCCTCTGGTAACCACCATTCTGTTGTCTGTATCTATTTTATTTTTGTTTGTTGCTTTTTGTTTTATATCCCATGTATGACTGAAATCATATGGTTCTTGTCCTTTTCCATTTGCTTATTTCACTTAAAATAATACAACCAAGATCTATCGATGTTGTCACAATTGGCAATACTTCATCTTTGTATGGCTGAGTACTATTCCATTGTATATGTGTACCATATCTTCTTTAGCCAATTATCTGTTGCAGGGCACTTGTTCTGTTTTCATTCTTGACTATTATAAATAATATTGCAATGAACATAGGGGTACATATATCTTTATGAATAAGCATGTTCAAATTTTTCAGGTGTATATCCAGAAGAGATTGCTGGGTCATATTTTAGTTCTTAATTTTTTGAGGAACTTCCATACTGTTTTTCATAGTAGCTGTACCAATTTATATTTGCACCAGCAGTGTACAAGGGTTTTCTTTCTCCACACCCTCTCCAATATTTATTTCTTGTCCTATTGATAGTAGCTTTCTAATGGGAGTGAGATGGTATCTCACTGTAGTTTTGATTTACATGTCCCTTATAGTTAGTGGTAGTGTGCATTTTTTCACATATCTGTTGGCTATCTTATACTTCTCTTTGCTTCATTCAGTCACCAAAGAGTAAGTGCGATCTGGAAACAGCCCAAATGCCTATCAATAGACAAATGGATAAAAAAGCTGTGGTACATATACACAATGGAACACTATGCAGCCGTAAGAAAGAAAGATCTCTTATCCTTTGAGATGACATGAAGGGACCTGGAGAGTATTATCCTAAGCGAAACAAGCCAAACAGAGAAAGACAATTATTATATGATCTCACTTATTTGTGGAATATAATAAACATAACAGTCTGAGGAATGGGGTAGTCCCAGACATGGAAGTGGGGTACAGACTGACAATTCCCAGAAGAGGGGGTGGTGGGGGAGAGATAAACCACAGAACTTATATGCATTTATGCATGAACAATTGACATAGACAACAAAGCTGGGGACAGGGCGGGCAGGGAGAGGAAGGGAGGGAATCAGTGGGGGATAAAGGAGAAATATCTGTAACAAAAATAAATTAATTAATTTTAAAAATAAAATAAAATACAAAAAAAAAAAGAGTAAGTGCTTACCATGTGTCAGGAAGTGGGCCAGGCAGCGAGAAATCCATATGTTTAAATAAAAGTCTATTATGGAGAATTTTTGACATATACAAAAGTATATGTATATTTGACATATATAGAAGCATTTCCTAAACACATGTCTATGAAATACTTTCAATGCATCTTTGTGTGCTTATCACCAGCTTTATAGCCATCAACCCCGTCTACTGCCCTATCCACATGCCACTGATACCCTTCTCCTAATTTCCATATTATCTTAAAGCACACCATCTGTTAATATTTAAAATGTTCTCTAAAATATAAGAACTGTTATATATATATATATATATATATATATATATATAACCACAATGCCATGATCACTTTCCCCCAATACACATTTTTCCTTGATATAATCAAATATTGAGAAATCAAATTTGAATAAAGCATAGATTTACCTTCAAGGAATTTATAGCCTAGTGGAACAGACAGACAAGGAAACCAGTGATCATACTAGAGTAGAGGAGCATCAAATGCCTATCAAAGTAATATGATTTAAGCTATTCAATGAGAGAGAGAGGGGCAGAAGGGAAGAGGTCAAAGGAGAGGAGGGGGAAAAAGAGAAGGAAAGGGAAGGGGGAAAAATATCAACGTAACTAATGGGAAGTATTATTCCTGCTTCCTTCCTCCATGAGCATGTGCCCAGCATGAATTTAATGGAGGCAGAAACCTACTTTTTCTTTATTCATTTTCTTTTTGTCTTTCAGAGTGTGAACATCTCAACACCCTGAATGTAATTTAGTGTTTGAAAATAAATGTTCCTTTACACAGCATTTATGCCATCTCTTCAATGAGACTGAAAGTGCCTATAGCGTATGGAGAATGAAAAGGATCTATAGCTTACAATTCTCACAGCAAAATAACCATAGCAGGATCTCACTAACTAACCCACAGAAGTATCCTGTATACTACTGGTTGAGGAGTCTAAGTAAGAACCCTAAACATGTAGCTCTTGTGGTGTTTATGTTTCATTAATTGTTTCCATCTACTGTTGTGGAACCAGGTTCAGTAAGAACAAGGACAGCATGAATCCTTACATATACCTGCCCTTTGGAAGTGGACCCCGAAACTGCATTGGAATGAGGTTTGCCCTCATGAACATGAAAGTTGCTGTTATCAGAATTCTGCAGAACTTCTCCTTCAAGCCTTGCAAAGAAACACAGGTCAGACACTTAACACATTACCACTCTTCATAAATAGTACTTTACTGGGAAATTGAAACAAATTGATTCTCTCTCTCTCTCTCTCTCTCTCTCTCTCTCTCTCTCTCTCCACACACACACATATACATGAATGTGCTCATTTGTTGTTTAATGATTTATTCTCTAAGCCAGATTTTGGATTCATCTGTGACCTTTATGACCCCATTTGTCTAGAATGCTAAGCCCTCAGGCTTATAAATACCCAACTATAAAGGCCATCTAGGGTCAGTGTAGTTGGCATGACATGATGATGCAGAGTCCTTTGAGAAGGACTTAGTTTCAACTCCACTGGAAGGAAGGGAAGTTCTGTGCACAGTCCTGAAGGACAGTGATAAAACTGGGTCATGACTTTTGAATGCTGCTCTTTTCCACCAGAAGTTACAGAAGCTCTTGTGATAGTGGTTCTCAAACATTGGCTGTACAACAAAATCACTGGAGAGTTATAAAAAATCCTGATGCCTGAGTCATCTGAGACACTAAAATAATTCCTCTTTTGTGACTTTAAAAGCTCCCTCTTTGATTCTCATGAGCAGTCAAGGTTGAGAATCACTGATTACAGCATATCTACCTGATGTAAGAACTCCCACAGTCCAGGGCCATCCTGGATACTTGACCCCTCCTTCTGGGAGCCCATAAATTCCCAATGGTGCCTTTCAGTCATTCAAGAAATGCTTAAAGAGTGATTTGCAGTTGATTTAGAGCTCTTAGGTACACATTTTAGTCAATTTAATTTGATAAATTTAACATTTGCATTGTGCACTTTGTGTATATTCCTCTGAAATATATACTTATATACACACACACGCCATGGGGTGAAATTATAAAATATAAAAGGTTTTACATTAATAGAAGGATGTGGAATCTCTCCTCTGAAGAACATGCAAAGTAGTTGCCATTGATTCATGCTAAACAAGGCCCTATTATAAGGTTTATTTCTAGGACTTGTGCATTTATCATGCAGTTCCTTTCTTTAAGTAGGCTTTTCCAGGGAAGAGGAGGAGGATGAAGATAGTTTCCATCTTATTTGAGGCTTTAGGCAACTGTGTAGCAGTCCTGTGAGTGTGTACAAACGGGGAACTCAGCCCACAGAGGAAGTGGGTTTCTGGCACACCTGGGGTGGGGTAGACACTCCCTAAAAGCTCCCAGTCATCTATGGCTGGTGCTTCTCACCTTCCATGACAATTTTCTTACTCTTCAGTCGACTGAGATCAGAAAGTTACTGTGTTGGTAGCTCCCCCAACACTGAAGAAGTGGCAGGGTGAGAATTGAGCTAAAAAATTAGTCAAACAATATATAGGTCTTCAGAAGTTCACTATTTACACTATACTTGGGAGCCAGGAGATATTGAAAACAGGTACAATGCTTCATAAAAACCTTTTCTCATCATGAAACTGGAAGGTTTCCACTGGGAGAGGTGGCTGGGCTCTAGAAGTCTAGGATAGTCCATACAATTAAAACATGTACTCAGATTTACTTTGCAGTTTTCAGCATGCACAAAATTAACTCTATGTGGCTTTTCCAAATAGTTTTCCATAATGCCTGAAAATCTGGTTTAAATTTTAAAAACTCATCCTTTTTACTTAAAATTTAAACCAAAACAAACCAGCCAACATGCTTTTGTCTCCGGCCTGGTACAGAATAGGTGCTGTGTTGATATTTTCTTGAATGAATGTATTAATGAATGCTTTAACTGACAGTCTTGAGACAGCTTACTAAATAGGCATAAAGAAACAAAAATACATTATGCTAAAATTAATTTTTATATGTTTTAAAAGCATTATTGTCCTCAATGTATCTCATCTACTTTGCTTCTTTTGTTGCCAGTGCTTCATTAATTGGTTCTCATATGCTGTTTAACCTTTGCAGATCCCTGTGAAATTAATGTCTCAAGGATTTATTGAACCAGAAAAACCCATTGTTCTAATGGCTGAGTTGAGAGATGGGACTGTAACTAGAGCCTGACTTTCCCTAAGAATTTACTTTGTTCTTCAAGGAAGCTGCATCCTCCAACACCAGAGATCTCAATGTGCTTTGTGAATAAGTCCCTGAAATAAAGATGAACTTAACCTATTGCACTTGATGAATGACTATGGAGTCTGTACATTCTTTTAGCTTTCTCAATGTCTATACAGTATATTCTATCTTGTGTAATATAAGGGAAGTGACTAGATAAGTGCCAGATATGTAGACCCAGCTTATTGGGTCCTTATAATACTATCTCCATCCATCCCCACCTGGTACTGTCCACTGTTCTTTAACAATAGTCAAGAATAGCCCTGGCCGGTTTGGCTCAGCGGTTAGAGCGTCGGCCTGCGGTCTGGAGAGACGCGGGTTCGGTTCCCGCTAAGGGCACGTACTTCGGTTGCAGTTTGTCCCCGGCCCTGGTTGGTCGTGCGGGTGGCAGCCACTCGATGTGTCCCTTCACGTCGATGTTTCTCACTCTCTCTCCCTTCCTCTCTCTCCCTCCCACTCTATCTGTACAAAAAAAAAATAAATAAATAAAAAAATAAAAAAAAAAAAAAAACAATAGTCAAGAATACAAATTCCTCTATGATTTTGTCAACAAATTTTAACGGATGCAAGAATTATTGTGGTAATAGCCATAGTGACATTTATATCACTATATATATATATATATATATATATATATATATACATATATATATCCTCACCCGAGGACATTTTTCCATTTTTTGTTCAGATAGAGCGGGAGGGAGAGAGAGGAAGAGAGAGAGAGAGAAACATCGATGTGAAGGGACACATCGAGTGGCTGCCACCCGCACGACCAACCAGGGCCGGGGACAAACTGTAACCGAGGTACATGCCCTTAGCGGGAACCGAACCCGTGTCTCTCTGTACCGCAGGCCGACGCTCTAACCGCTGAGCCAAACCGGCCAGGGCTCACATTTTATTTTGAATATTCTAAATTGTATATTATATTGAGCAACTCAATAAACATCTCTTCACAATAGTATTATCTAATGCTTTCATGCGCAGTTGGGGGAATTTATAGAACCAAATCAATGGGAGCAGTGACTAAATGTTTTTAACCATCACAGTTGCTGGTTGGGTGGGTCCTTTTTCAGAACTCCAATTTGATATATTAAGATAAGTGAATGAAAAGGATGACCCAAGGTTTGGCTACAAAAAGGAGGATTGATCAAATAAGTAAATTTATTATGGGTAATGAAATCCCGGCTTCTCACTATCTGAGAAAGATGTCACAGATTCAGAAAGAGAGAAAACCAGAATGAACCATGTGGGCTCAGAGATTGGAACTGAATGTATTGTGTAAGTTCATGCTCTTCTATATAAGTAAATGATAGCTAGGTGTGTGTGTGTGTGTATGACTGTGTGTACATACATGTATCCATGTTAAAGGGTAGGGTCCCAACAGCTGTTCTGATTGGAGGGTAAAGATTTCACTATTGCCCTGGCTGGTTTGGTTCAGTGGTTAGAGTGTCAGCCTGAGTACCAAAGAGTCATAGGTTCGATTCCAGTCAAGGGTATGTACCTCGGTTGCGGTTCATCCCTGGCCCCGGTTGGGGTCTTGCAGTTGGCAACCAATCAATGTGTCTCTCTCACATTGATGTTTCTCTCCTTCTCTCTCTCTCTCTCCTCCCCTCCCTCCCTCCCACTCTTTCTGAAGATAAATGTAAAAATGTCCTCGGCTAAGGATTAAAAAGAAAAAAGAAAAGATTTCCACTATCAATAGCATATGGTGGTTGAGATGGAAGGCTCTTCCTGAATTCAGTAACTAGATCTGTCACTCACAAGCTGGGTGACCTAGTTTTTTAATCTTGAAAAATCTCAGATTCCTCATCCATGAAGCAGGGATGATAATAGTACCTTCCTCATGGGGTAATTACGAGGACTATGGAAGTTAATACAGATGAGACTCTGAGAATCATTCCAAGCACATGGTGAACCATGTGCTGGCCACTGTTGTTTAGATTCATACTTTTTAGAACAGTTTTCTCTGAGCTGCAGAGGTCACAGAAGCAGCCCAATTTGCCACAGATCAAGTTGTGGAAGAGCCAATTTGTTGAATGACTCAGTCACTGGACTCCAGAAGATACTTTCTGATGTTTAGTTTCTTCCCCACCTCAGCTGCCCTATGATGTAAAGAAGTGGGTTTTCTGTAAATACATTTTACAATTTTTTTTTTTTCTGGATTTATGGCCTTCCTGACCTCTGCCCTATTACCTGCATTGTCCCTTTCTTTGGCCTGCCCTGCTGCCCCCATTCTATGGGCACATTGTTGTATTGGTGAACTATTCCTGAAACAAATTTTTACTATTTTCTCTATTTTCATGGACTTATGGCAGTGACAAAATATTCTAGACTTAATGTCTCATGGTTTTGGTGAATTGACTTATCTTGAATTGACTTTAGGTGATGTGCCTGAAGCAGGCACTGGGTTTCCAGCCAGCTGCTCCAGGTTTCAATGGTCCCTCAACCCTGGCCACATTTACTGACAACTCGGCCTTCCCTATTTCAGTGACTTGCAAGTGGCTTACATCATTGTGCCCATGACCCTTCATGGTATGCCATAAGAACTGGTACTAATGATTTATTAATTGGACTATTTACAGAGTGATGTGACCTCTGCACTCTCCATCTTATTAAATTTCAGGGTGGTTGTGCAAAGTGGAGATGATGCCTTCATTCATATATTCACTCAAAACCTTCATGCTAGGTATAGAACTCTTAGGCCCCAGGAATATAGAAGTAAATAAATCATGGTTCCTACCCAGAGGGATTTCATAATTTAATTGGAGAGACAGAAACATAATTATTGTACAGTCATTGAGCCCACAGACATCCTTTTTATGGCCCATTAGGAAAGGAGACTAGATCCTATTAGTCTGCTAGGCCTCCCATAGTGAAGTACAATATACTGGTGGCTTAAACAGCAGAAATTTTCTCACAGTTATGGAGGCTGGAAGTCCAAGATCAAACGGCTAGTTCTTTCTGAGGCCTCTCTCCTCGATGGCTATTTTCTCTCTGTGTTTGCACATGGTCTTCCTCTGTATCTATATGTGTCTGAATCTCCTTTTCTCATAAGGATACCAGTCATATTAAATTGGGACCCACCCATATGTTCTCATTTAAAGTTAATTAGCACATTGAAAGCCCTGTCTCCAACTACTGTCACATTTTGAGGTACTGGAGATTAGGATTTCCACATGTGAATTTTGGGTGTGGGGAACAAAATGCAGCCTATAACAGGACCAGAGGGGAGCCTGGGGCCTGCACACGGATGTCACAGGAGGAAGAAGGGAAACTCCCACACAGAGAGCAGTGAACATGCACTCTCATCAAGGCTGCCTGGAGGGCAGAGCTGGGCCCTTAATACCAGTTAGAAGGCTCCAGTTTAGCAAGGGAGACTCAGGCTTGATAGAACCATGAATGCAACAGTGAGTCTTTGAAGACCCTCTGCAGAGCCAGAGCAGGAAGAAGACATCACCTACAAGGTGCAGGGTGGGCTGATGGTCTGACGCCCACTGTACCATTTCCATAGATCATATTCCCAAAGATCCCAATCTCATCCTGGGAAGAGCAGGGAAAAAGGGGGTCAGCAAGGCCAAACTTAGAGAAATCCATTACCCAAATGAAACCAAAAGGTTTTTTTTAAGGAAAAAAAATTCTTCCACACCAATTTTACTCCAGGTAGGGCTTCATGGGGATGATGTTCTCATTTATGAAAAGTTAAAAAGCTACATTTGCTTTGAGCATCTGTGTGCATTTTCAAAAGTGCTATATCTCTTATTTTTACAATTGATACCATAATACAATTAAGAAACAGAGATGAGAGAAAAAAGATGGTGGCAGGCAGGACAAGAGTGAAGGTGAGTGTGTAAGAATGTGAGCAAGTGTGAAAGAGTGTGAGTGGACATGAGGGTGGACGAGCAACCTCGGAGGAGTGCAGAAATGTTGTGCAGAGGGTTCCTGTGCTGTGGATGGGGAAGCAGCTAGCTACCACAGTAAGAGGCTTGTCAGAGTGCTTCTCCCTGTGTGGCCAGAAGGCTCTGCTGTTTTGGAAGATCTGCTGGTCTTCTCTGGGAGGAGGCAGTGGGGAGTGGTTAGAGTCGAGCCACCTGATTCCACCAGTGGGCCTCGCACCATCGAACCAGTAGACCCTGCTGTGTTAATGTGGACCAGCGCACAGTAGCAGTGCTGTGAGAGTGCCTGCTCGAGGAAGCAGGAATCAGCCAGGAGCTGAACACCATCCCCCACAGCAGCAGTGACTGGATGAGAGTGGAGCCCCAGCCCCAAAAGCATCTGACGATCAGGAGCCAAGACACAACACCAGCAGCAGAGGCTCAGGAGCAGACATCCGTCCCCAGGCAGCAGCAGTGCAGATCAGCAGCTGAGACCCATCACCAGCAGCATCAACAGAGGCTGATCAGGAGCTGTGCCCCATCCATAGCAGCAACAAGGCTTAGGCAGCCAAAACCCACCCCTGACAACTGCAGCAGTGGATTTGGAGTGAGCCCCTCCCCCAGCAGCAGCAAAGTCTGGGAAGCTGAGCATCCCAAGCCCCCAACAGCAGCAGAGGATTGGGAGCTGAGAGCCCTCCCTGGCAATAGCAGCAGAAGTAGCAGCACAAACCAGGAGCGGTCACTCACCCCCAGCAGCATCAGCAGCTACTGATCAGGAGCTGAGCCCTACCAGGCAGCTGGACCAGCTGGACCTGCACACACCAGCAGTGCCTACCACGACAGACCAGTACTAACCCCCAGTTGTCAATCCTCCAGGACCCACAGCAGGCAAGAGGCATCATGCACCAAAACATTCTTGGAGGCACAGCACCTTATTTGATACACATTGAGCTGCCTACACATCCCAAAATCCCTCACCGAGCCTGGAACTACCAGTCTGCTAAAATGGTGAGACAAAGAAACAATACCCAAATGAAAGAAAAGGAGGAATCACCCAAAAAGGAATTACATAAAATGGAAGCAAGCAGTTTGTCAGATAAAAAATTCAAAGCAATGATTTTAAGGTGCTCAAAAAATATAGTGACAACTTCAAGCAACTTAATGAGAATTATAAAGA